CCCCCCCCCCCCCCCCCCCCGTGTCAATCCACGCGCCGGCATGTGATAGTCACAGCCTCTCTTGTAAATGAGTCCTGGAGGCTCAATGGGATTAACCTGTCTAAATACAGGTTGAATGAAGAAGTACACAACAGTTTTTAAACTGTGGCGATAGGCCCAAGTACAACCAGAGTTACGATAAATAATCCACTCCACATCTTTTTCTGAAAGTCAACATCATATCTGAAGTTGAACGGAGGTGTTGAAGTGAGTGAGGGCACGAGTGATTCATGGGGTTGACAGATTTGTGATGTTTGGTGTTTGGGTTTTATAGTTGGGGTGTAGTTTAGTGTCTTTAAGGTTTAGTCAAAGTGTGTTTGAGTCAGAACAATGAGACGATTTTTGAACGCGAGGAAGAGCTGCAGAGCCAGAGGAAGACAGACCCGTCGAGTCAGAACCTCTCAGACAGAGGAGAGGATCATGGAGGAGAACAACAGTGAGTCAGCCAGTGAGGACTTTGTTGATGAAGAACATGATTTGTTTCAGAAGAGGAAGAGCGGACGAGCCCTACTAGAAGATACACAGAGGAGGGGGTCCACAAGCTCTCGGACTGGGCCAACAGAACCAGAACAGATGAGGATGTGAACGGTGACCCAGAGGGTGAACTAATGGAGGAAAATACATTTTTAAATTACCATAAAAAATGCATGTTTGTCAATTTACAAAACAAAACTAAGAGCATTTAAACAAAAACTCAAGAGTTAAAATAAAACATTATTTAAATCAGATATTTTTATTTTAGACAGAGCTCTAAAAGACTGAGTAGTTTTTTTGTGTAAAAATATTTAAAACTAGTATTTAAAGCGGTTAAATAGGGTGTTGCTTTTCCTCTGATGAACTGTCATGAAGTTAAAGGATTAAAACCGTCGTACTGTTCACAACACAATGCTCTTGATGTGGATCAGATTCCATGATCTTGTCTGTAGTTACAGAAAACAAAGAGAAGTTTTTGAGCTGCGTGCATTCAGCTGGGACTGCTGCAACATTAAGAATAAAGATGAATTCATTGTGAAATAATTCTTTATTAGATTCTTGAAATGTTATCACTCTAGAAAACTGATTGACTATGCTGCTGACTATGACTTCACTGTTTCGTGCATGTGATGCTGGTACATTTTCAGCCGTGATCAATCATTCAACCTTTATTTATACAGGTAAATCCCATTGAGCCTCGAGGACTCATTTACAAGAGAGACCTGATTTAACAAAGAAAGATGACAACAATGGACAACAGCAACAACAATAAGCAGTTATAAAAACTCATACTACAGTTTTTTTTTTTTTTTTTTTTTTTTTAACAAATAGGATGGCTAAA